CCGACCAGAGTTCGATTCCTCTGCCCCTCTCAGAGAGCCCGGCAAGCTACCGCGAGTATCTCACCCGCATGGCAAATCCTGGCAAGCTACCCGTGAAGTATTCAATATACCAAACACAGTAACAACAAAGTCTCATGATGGAGACGTTACTGGGCCCGCTCGAGCAAATCAATGAACAACAGGAGGACAGTGACAGTAATATATAAAATCCTAGTAGAATTTGTCTTTGGTCCACACTCCTGAGGAAATTCTGATGAGTGTACTCATATGATGACTCTTGGACTTTGTGAAGTTGTGGAGGAATAGGCAGGCAATGCTAATTTTCTTTCTTTCTTTTCTCTTTCTCTCTCTTTCTTTTATCTTTCTTTCTTTTGCATATCTCCTTTTAAACCATTTGTTGAAAATGTTAAATGATATGTTTGTTGTGATTATCTGAGTGCTAATTTAAGTCATATTTTTGTGTGAATATAAAACAGGTAATATAGTCTTGTCCATTTTCCTCCTCAATTAAACCAATGGAAAATCAGTCTGTTGGATGATTGCCCCAGAGCTCAAACTCGAGGCTATACTCAGACTCAAGGCTACCTCAGAATCACCTGCAGGGCCTGTAAAATCACAAGCTTGCTGGGCTTAATTTACCCACCGCTTCTGATTTGATTTGATTCACGGGTGGGAGTCATGAATTTACATTTCTCTTAAGTCTTAATTTACATTCTAATGACTTGGCATTTTCTTGTATGCCCCAACTCTGCTGTAGGTCCATCTTAATGATAAAGCTTTTGTTAGTTGACGCAGGTGATTGATGCCGGTTTTGAAGCTTTAAGAAACATGCTCAAAGAGCAGAGAAGTTCAACTCTGATTACATGTGGCTGTCTTAAATATGTGTTCTAATGCTGATATTGAAATCACCGTTTTTGAAGGTGAAACTCAGACATGAGTACTGTTAACCCCCATATCCTATCTTCTGTTGGTTGATCTGCCAGCCTTGAGATTCAAGGAAGCAAATTCGTTTGTAAATCGGCCAGTCACTGAGAACTGAGGGCTATATCTCTTCTAAAATCGGATTCTGAAATGTATATCAGGGAAAACTATTTAAGGAATAGCAAATTAATGAGATCTTGAAATCAAATCAGTATGAAATTTGTATTCCCTATTAATCATACAGATTACACTTTGTGTATTAGACTTGCTTTGCTTAATAATATGGAGTGATAGCACAGCGGTAGGGCATTTGCCTTGCGTGCAGCCAGCCCAGCCGAGCCGGGTTCGATTCCTCCGCCCCTCTTGGAGAGCCTGGCAAGCTACCAAGAGTATTCAATATGCCAAACACAGTAACAGCAAATCTCACAATGGAGACGTTACTGGGCCCGCTCGAGCAAATCGATGAACAATGGGAGGGCAGTTTGGCAGTTTTCAATTGGCAATGAAGTTCTGGTTCTGCTGATAGCGGACGGGTTCTTAGATGTGTACATGAGGAAGGAACAGTTTTACTGATGGTACACCTGCGTGTGTGTGTGTGTGTGTGTGTGTGTGTGTGTGTGTGGTGGGACATTTTCTATAGTTCTTATTGTAGCTAGTTGCTAGTTTGCAACTCATACAAAGAGGATTCTGTGAAAAAGAGAGTATCAAAGAGTCTGTCTTATTCCAAGAACAAAGACAAGCCAGTGATGAGAAATTCTGTGTGAAGGTTTTCTTAAACATGCAATGTAACGCCACCTCTTAGGCACCGTAGTATGCCTCGCTGCTAGAACTGCTCAGTGGCAAGAAATGGGTCTGACTTCTCTCTTTCTTCCCTTCCCTTCTCCTATTCTCCTTCTCTGCCCCATTTGATGTCCTCCTCTCTCCCTTCCCATTTTGTCCAACCCCTTCCTGCCCAGCAAAACTTTTCTTTGATGTCTTAGTCTGGACCCCCCGTCAACACAAAACTTCTTTATCTTCTAGCACGTATTTTATTTGAAAATTGCAAATAACTATTGGTGTTCACAGCAGACCTCCAACTTGTTTATTGTTTAAATTCTGATTCTTGGTTAGTTTCCAGGCTTAATTTTATCTCTTTACAATTGTGGTAGGAATATATGTGGTTTATATCATCAATGCTAAGTAACCTGTAACTCTTGCAATCTGGACTTTTTTATCTGCAATTTTTGGAGCCACACTTGCTTGTGCTGAGGGCTTACTCCTGCCTCTGTGCTCAGAGGTCGAAACTCTAACTATCTCTCTGGTCCTGAAGTTCTCTTTTATGAGACACAAGACACACATAAACTAATATCTGTGCTACTGAAGGCAAAGGGGTCAATTTAAATGCCCTGAATACGATGATAAAAGGGTATTCAGAACCTTACCAAAATCATATAACTAGCAGGTATTTGGTTTGTGAATTTTGTGAGTCCAGCTTTTAGGAAATGTCTCCTTGAGCAGTTCAATTTATCTTTTTATGTGTGTAGGTGTCAACACCTCCACCATAAAAATCTAAATAATAAAACACATCTCCCGTATCTGGGATAAAAAAAAAAAGAAACATAGTAAGGGCGAAGCAAATAGTCACTGTAGCTGAAGATTTTGTATGCAGAACAGAGCTTAAATGAAGACGAAGTGAAAAGTTCCTGGGGTCACTGGTGGGGGAAGCAGGCTCACTGATGGGAGTGGGTTGGAATGATGAATCCATACAAAGAATTAACAATATTTTAAGTCAACAAAACTGGTTAATGAAAACGGGTTGGGCTGGAGAGATACTAGAGCAAGTAGTTGGATGATGTTGAACTGGGTTCAAATCCCAGCACTTCATATGGTCCCCTGCACTCCACCAGGAGTGATCCCAAACATAGAGCCTGGAGTAAGCTATGAGCACCACTGGTGTGGCCCCCAAACAACACCCTTCCCCCCCAAAACCCAATGACAGCAGAAAGAGTGCCCCCTGAACTAAACTATGGATTTGGGGTGAGTGTTCTGTCTCTTTGTGGGAGAATCCCCCGAAACAAGTCCATTACTCTATTGGGAAATGCAGATATTGAGGACAAAGCACAGTGGGTGTGCTGGAGCAAAAGAAATACGGGTCCCTTCCCATTTATTTTGCTGTGAACCTGAAACTACTCTAAAAATATCTTTAAAATAACTTTTTTGCTTTTAGGGTCACACCCGGCGTTGCTCAGGGCTTACTCCTGGCTCATGCACTCAGGAATCACTCCTGGCAGTGCTCGGGGGACCATATGGGATGCTGGGAATCGAACCTGGGTTGGCCATGTTGGCTGTGTGCAAGGCAAACGCCCTACCCGCTGTGCTATCGCTCCAGCCCCTAAAATAATTTTTATAAAGAAAAACATCACCTTTTCCGAGGACTTAAAGTCTTTGTCTATCATTTCCTCAACACAGACATGTGACAAAACAAATATTCTAAAACACAGAAGGGATATGCTCCTTGAATTAAGGACAGATGTCATAAAATACTGCTTTTGATATGCATGTCTTTGAATAGAGGTTGCCTTTGTTTGGCATTCCTAACCTTGCCTGAGGCTGCTCTGGGTGGGCTTCTGTCTAGGTGGGCTGTGTGTGGGGGTCCCACAAGGATGATGAGGCTTCCTACTTAGCTGACATGCAGCCTGGCGGGTCTCTTGCCTGTGAATTTCAGGCGACTCTATGGAATCCCTCTCCTGCGAAGCCCAACGTGAGACTGTCTTTAGTCAGCGGAGGAGGTGACATGGTCTGGTGTAAAGAGGACGTGCTAGGAGAGTTTCTTCATGAGAATGAGATCAGGCCTCAACAGGCGTTTCTGGAAATGAACCTCTGGTCCATGCCTTGCAGCGTGTGCTTTGCTGAACGGAGTTTTCAGAATCCCCCTCCTGCCTTTTGAAGAGTTGATGGCTTTTACATTAAAATAGCACTTTTTTTTTCTTTAGGGGAGCAGGGGCGGCTTCCAAATAGAGCATATTAAGTTCAAGGACCCCACTGGTGGGGTCAACCACACTGATGGTTCCATGCAAAGGGCCAAAGAAGTGGGGTGTCACCAGGCAGAGCCGGCAGGAGGGAATACTGGAGCAGAGACTGCAGAGAAGACCATGCGGTCCCAGGAATAGAACATGGGTCAGTCTCGTGCTGTGTACTCTGAGCAGCTTCACTCTTTCAGCTGAGTGCGTTGTGGTTCTGTGAGCAGTTTGCTTTGACTGCTCACAGAAATGACTCCAGAGTCAGAACTCCAGGATGTAGAGGAGGTGAAGCAGTCAGTCTCATGGGAAGAGTGGGTTCCCAGGCTGCAGCTGAAGAACCCACGCGGCCGGCCTCGCTGTCCTAGCTGGGACAGCTCCATAAAGACCCGGCTTCACCTGCTCCCCCCTCCGGGTCCTCTCCTTACGCTGGCCCAAACACAAACCCGTTACTCAGCCCTCTGGGTGATGAGCTTCTGTTCCACCAGCCCCCGCAGCCTGGGCTCTTGGCCTCTTGAATGGAAATTTTATTTTTTTGTCTGTTACCAATGTTTCCCTTACGATTTGTTTCTTATTAGTATATGCCTTTAACATTAACTTGGTTGTAATCAGTACTTACACTCTAGAATTTCATTGCCGTGGTTTCGATAAATATTTAAGAGAAAATCCACAATGTTCACGTTCATAGTCCGAGGCATATGCAAATTTATTCAGAGATTAAAATCATCCAGCACTATTGAAGAAGGCTAGATAAATAATAGAACTGATGCTTCAGACCCACATGTAATAATATTGCCCCCATATGATTTGCATAGGTTACAGAAATATGTTCCTTAATGTGGTCCTTCTATTCCTCTTCTCATCTTTGATATATTACTTTTTGCTATTTCTGGCAATGCTTTATAGTATCAAAGATAAAATTTCAGCCACTTCAACATTATAAATAAGCATAAGAAATAAACCAAGAAAAAAAAAACAACTGATAAAATCAAAGTGCTCAGAATCAGTGGAAAACCATTTATTTTTGTAAATTAAAAACTAATATTCTTAGGGTCGCAGTAGCATTCTCTAGTTTAATTTGGAAATGATCAGAAAATGCCAAATGTGGGTTATGCCACAAATGTCAGCCTTATCCTCATCACCGTAATTTAGACATCAGATAAAAATCAGGGCTTCTACTTCTCAATCGTTGAGTAACACCATGCTGGTTTTTCACATCACCGATGAAAGGGAAAGGATGGTGAACTGGATGCGTGTAAGGAACATGGGAGGTCGTGTTACGTTTCCAGGATATGGCGCTTTGCCACGGACCACAGTCTCTTGGAACAAGATAAAGTCATTGAAATGGTTAACAGATGTTAGCCATATTCGAAATGTAAAAGTTCTATTGCTGAAAATTATGTAGGGTCAGATGGAGTTTTGGCGCTTGGTCCATAACTTAACTGACTTGGCAAATGAAAAGTTGAGATCCAGAGGCGAAGCGCATAACGCTGAGGCCACACACCACGCGGGCTCATAAACCACCGACAATATGTCCACTGTGCTAAGCCAGCTTGATTAAGTATTGACACAGTGTCCGATACTGAGAGAAATCTGAAGTTGATTTTCACATCTACGAAATTACAAAGCTATTTCTCTAAGACCAAGAGAGTGGCCTTTTCTCCCAATTCATACACAACTCCAAGTTATATTATTTCGCCTCTGCTACAGTTTATCTGATGACTGATGGCACTTCCTGCTGACTCCATCATCTACCCAATTCTACCTTTCCAAAGCATCTCCTTTCCCCCGACTATTTATTACTTTGTTTCCAGAATAAGCTGATGACAATTGTTTTCAGATAAATATTTGTAGCTGAAATGGATCTTCTTAGATTTGTAGCCTATTTGTTCAACTCAAGCACTGAAGCAGGCTTGTGCTACTTTGGAGTTTGTGGTTTTATTCACAGCTTTGCAGATAAAGTCACCGGCTTCCATCACTTTATAGAGATTCACACCCTGGAAAAGGAAAGTGGGTATGGGAGGTGAGAAAGAAGACAAACAGATTTTTCTAAATTATAGTAGTAGCAGAGCTTTTCAAAATTACTAAGCAAAATATTCCTACTACTGATTTGGGGAAAACATATTTTTGTGAATCATGTAATGAACACTTCAGGTTTTTTTTTCCTTAACGAAAGCATATTTTGACTTACCCTTGTGTTATACTTTGGTCTAAACAAACCCAAGGGACTCTGTATACTGGCACCAAAAAACTAGGAAGAACAGTGATGCGCTAGAAGAATTTCTTAAAACATCAACGTGGAAAAATTTAAATAAAAAGAGTTGAAGAAGCTGACAGATAAAGGACTTAAGAGAAAGACAGAGCTTCTTTACTATGTCAAAAAACAAACTTGAAAAAGCTATATAGGAAAAGAGAATGTTTGATTTTTGACTATTTTAGAAGTATTACTGTTGCTTAACAGTAATGGTATTGAATCATATTACCGCTATGATATTGAAGGAAGTAGTTATAGGTCAAATCAAATAAAGTAGTTTTTATTCCACATCTGGAACTTGTTTGCCTGAGAATTTGTACTGTCTGAAAGCATAAATAGGATCAACAAAGGCTTAGGTAAATCCCCAGATGACAGGCAGTTGGCTTGGAAGGCCAAGTTCAGTGCATGCTTCCCATCTCGGGGACTTGGTGTAGCTAAAGGTCACTATCAAGGTCCCTCCTGGCACCTTCACTGTCACGGAGGAAGCTAAGCATTAGGTGGATTAACCAGAGATTTGCCCTAATGGAGCGTTTCGTAAACTCTGGTGTCCTCACTCGGACACAGACTAGAAACAATGATACTTAAAATGGAATACATAGACATCCTTGCTATTCAAAATGGATTTTAATACCTGTGTGTCATTTTCTTAAAATGCACCAACCTATGTACACACAAGGCTTTGCATAACAGTGACCATGGGGGCATCGTTTTAATGTCACTAATTATTTCCTGGTAAGTGCAAAGTGCCAGGGAGTGAACCCAGAGTCTTACCTCATGTAAGAGATGCTCTCGACAGCTAAGTCACATCCTGGCAAACATTAAGCCACATCACTGGCAAATACATTTTTCTTTCTCATCAGGACCACTCCCAGCAGTGCTCAGGGGATCATGTCTTGCCAGGAATTAAACTCAGCCTCTGATAACTATGGACTCTACCTCTTAGCAATCTCCCACCCCCTTCACCAGAAATTCTCAGAGAACTTTTTCTTTGCAGTATACTTCTATGAATGATAACAAAAAGACTAAATTGATCCTTATCCGTGGTTTTCATTATCTTTTTTATTATCAAATTTTCTTAGTCAATTGCATTTGATTTATCTAAGAAATCTATATCTGTAAGAAAACTTTAGGTAACTGTAACTACATTCATAAACATGTGTCTTCTATTTCTGATTTTCATTAAGTAATAGATTGGGAAATTTTACTGAAAATTTTAGTGTTCTTCCCTTTCCAAGAATCCCATTTATATCAAGTAGGCAGTGACAGTTTTTGATGCATACCAAGATTTTAATGTTGGTCTTTCTTTACTATATAGTTAACATACTACTTTATTTTTAAAAAAGTATATTCTTGAATAGTTCATCACAGGCTAAATATATCTCATCTACTATGATAATTCTGATGTTCGAGACATTATGTAGAATGTCATTTCTGCCTTCAGGGTGCTCGGGCAATAGAAAGCCCCAAAGACAAAATTACATACTGTAGTTCAAGTTACTAGTACAGAGATGTGAAAACGACTAGGGAGGGAAAGATTCAGGGCAGTAAATTCACTGAAAAAAAAAATGCAATGGAAAGGAATGTGTCAACAAAAAAGAGAGAGTAAATCCTGACCTGAATCTCATATGAAGAGAAATGTGCTCCAAAGCATCTGTAGCACCAAATAGGGAGAGGACCCAAAGGAAAGTCTAAAGATCCATGTAGCTCTGCACTGTAGCGCTGTCCTCCCGTTGTTCATCAATTTGCCCAGTAATGTCTCCATTGTGAGACTTGTTACTGTGTTTGGCATACCGAATACATCACAGGTAGCTTGCTAGGCTTTCCGTGTGGGCGAAATACTCTTGGTAGTTTGCTGAGCTCTCCGAGAGGGGTGGAGGAATCGAACCCACATTGGCTGGGTCGGCCCCATGCAAGGCAAACGCCCTGCCCACTGTGCTATCTCTCCAGCCCACAGATCCATGTAATGCAATCAAACTTCAAGCAGTTTTTGAGAATTCACTGATGAGATTTCAAGCAAAAGCAAGGTATATTCATATTTATATTTTAGAGGAAATTTTCTGATAGCACCATGATTAATTCATTTAAAGGCAAATTGGAAGCCAGAAGACCAGTGTGGAGAATGCTAGGAAACAATAAGCACTTATGCTAATGTCATTGTTATGAAGATTTTAAGGGGAAAAAAAGAATCAAAATATTTTAGAAGACGAATCCATGGTTTCTGGTATTTGAACAGGCATGGGTACCACAGTTGAACTGGGTTATTCAGAGAATCTTGACTTGCAGCTTAGAGAAACTGGGTGAATTTGAGCCACTCTCCCCTGTAGCCGTCCTTTTGGAGCTGTGACATTCTTTGGAAGGAGATGTGACTTATCCATGCCTCCGTGACTTGACAGCTTGACATGTTTTAAACATCAGCTAAGTTCAAGTCAGTCTTATAAACCTTTAAGAGATCATTTTTAAATTTTTCTTTTTTTTTCTTTTCCTTTATTTTTCTTTGGGGGGTGGGGTGGGGTGGGGTGGAGGTGTATCCTTCAAGTCTCAGTCAAAGTCACTCCTGGTGGAGCTTGTGTGATGATAGGGGGTATTGAGACTTGAACCTGGGTTGGCTGCATGCAAGTCAAGCACACTCCCCAGTGTACTATCCCTTTGGCCCATCCAAGAGAGAATTTCGATTTTTGTTTGTTTCTGTTACAATCATGTATTTCTGTTGTAAATGATCAAGCTAAGATTGTAAATAAAATATCTATTCCTAACCAAAGAAAACAGGCAGCACTTTTGGCATTTAGTGCTAAGTGATACTAGTCTTGATACTAGTGATACTAGTCTTCAAGGAATATTACTGAGTATTGTCATGCTGAAGGCCTAGAGTCTGAATGGTGAAAGAGCTCTCTGGCTTCAGCATAAGCTAGACACAGGAATCAGATCTTGACGCAGTCCTAGAGCATGTCAAAAAGCACAGGAAGCAAAGCACAGATGGCAAGAATCACCAGTGTGGGCATGGCAGGGCGATGCTGGAAAATGCTTTGTGTATGGGAAAACCTCACTGTCCATGTTAAGGGAATGTTGGAACCAAAAAGAATTCCTAGTGGTGGTGAGAGAATGAACTCAAGGGGTGGCCAAGAGTAGTAATGGTTCAGAAATAGGACTACAGGCAAATTTGATGTTAATGAGGAAAGAGATGAGAGAGTGAGAGAGGGCCTTATTTTGTAATCAGGTGATACCTGCGTTTCTGAAAAAGCATTTGAAGCTTTTAATCACTTGCAGGAAAATATTTTGGCCTTTTATATATCCTTAAAAATCAATTTTATTGATAAATCGGGTATTTTTAATGCTGAAAATGGCAAGGTAGAAATTTTAGTGGATGCTATTGTGGAATATCTGACTATAAGTGACTGGAATGACAGACTTCTGGGCTAGCACTCCACTGGCCATACCAAAGATGCACTGCTCTTTCTCAGAGATCATGTCACTGTAAGAAAAATTAAGATTTCAGTTTTTTCCAAAGAAAATACCCATACCTAAAAACAAAACTGCAAAAGCAACAATCAAAACAGCAAGGCATAGATCCTAACTTACAGAGTGTGTGAAGGAATCAAATCAGATCATTCATGAAAACGTACTTTGGAGGTCACGAGGCATTCTAAACGTGAGGACAAGTAGCAGTACCTGGGATGGAGCTGTATCAGTAAGTCACTGAACAAGCCTCTCCAAGGATCATCATTGCTTTCCCACTGTGCATTTTAGTAAACAGCACAAGGGGAATACAACTTTGACTTCAAAATTGCTCTCTGAATCTGAAATGCATTCCAGTTTGGTTTTGCAAGGCATGCATGAATATTAAAGTGCTCACTTACGGAGTTGAGCCCCAGACCATTGAGCATATAGACCAAGTCCTCGGTGGCCACGTTCCCAGAAGCACCTTTAGCATACGGGCAACCACCTAATCCAGAGACTGCTGAGTCCACCACGCTAATCCCCATCTGCAAGACAAACCAAAGGCCAAGATGTGTGTAGTAAAGGCACAGAAACTGTTTGCTTTAGGTAGTCTGTTCCAAAGAGCAAATAAGCCAAATCTAAAGCCGTTTTCCAAATATATTTACTTACCCACCTGCTGCTATGTCTTTTCTGACTAATCTCGTCTTTACAAAACTTTACTAAGGCCCTTTGGGGCGTCACATGTCACTGCCACTGTCACCATCAGTCCTCCCATTTTTCATCGATTTTCTCGAGTGGGCCCAGTAATGTCTCCATTGGAGACTTTGTTGTTACTGTGTTTGGCATATCGAGTATGTCATGGGTGGCTTGCCAGGCTCTGCCGTGCGGGCGAGATCCTCTCGGTAGCTTGCCAGGCTCTCCAAGAGGGGCAGAGGAATCAAACTCTGGTCAGCCGTGTGGGCCGCATGCAAGGCAAACGCCCTACCCGCTGTGCTACATGATCTTAGGTAAAAAGACAAATGTTACTCACTAAAAGCAGCATAATTTTAGAGGGAAAAATTCAGGTGAGATTAATTAATTGCCAGGTGTACAATTAAAGCAGTACACTAACTTTTAGATCATTAAACGAGTTACGTGAAATAACTTCACAAACTCAAACTTTTGAAGTGAAAGGAAATGGTAACTGTCCAAAATAGTATTTCAACCATTCACTTCACCCGATCTTCAGGAGATATTATGCTGTACACTAATCTGTATTGCTTTGGGGTAAGTGCAAAGGTTTTTAAGAGGCAAGACACCGGCTATTAATAGCAGCACCAGCAAATACTTTTTAGGTCCTTACTATCTGAAAAGGATTATTTTTGGACTTCTAGGCAGTTGTCAGGATTCCTGGCCAATTCTTAGCACTTAGCACAGATGGTTCAATGCAAGAGCCCAAAGGTGTAATGCAGTTCCTGTCTGAATTTTCAGGGGTTACCCCAGCACCTGGTGTTGCTCTGTAGTATCCAGGGCTGTACCTGGTGATGCTCAAGTATGCCTTCACAACTGTCTACCTCTCCTGCCCCTCAGTTTCACTTTCAACAATATTCTAGATTGATTATGTCCTAGGGCGGGAGCGATAGCACAGCGGTAGGGCGTTTGCCTTGCACGCAGCCAACATGGCCGACCCAAGTTCGATTCCTCCCCCCCTCTCGGAGAGCCTGGCAAGATACCGAGAGTATCTCGCCTGCACGGCAGAGCCTGGCAAGCTCCCCGTGATGTATTCGATATGCCAGACACAGTAACAACAAAGTCTCCAATGAAGACGTTACTGGGCCCGCTCGAGCAAATCGATGATCGATTATGTCCTGGAATAATCTGGAAATAACTTTTAAATAAACTTTTGATTTCAAAACATTTGTGAAGAAGATATGAAATATTTCTACATATTAGTCATCCGGTTTCTACCATTGTTACGTTTTCCATTTATTATCTTATGTTTTTCATAATTGTAACTAAATATCGTTATTACTGGTCATGCTTCATTCAAATAAACCCAGACTTTATTCAGGTTTCTGTTGTTTTGAACTGTACATCTGTTGCTATGTGCCAGGAAGCCATACAAGTTGTCTCCTTACAAGTTAGCAATTAGATGCCACTGGGAGGAGACAATTTCTCCAACACTTTTCCTGAGCAGATCGTGACAATTTTGAGTCATTCTTATTATGTGTTTTGAATGATATCCTTGTGCTGTGGGTGTACTTGATATTCTCACTATTGGACTGGAGTGTTTTGCAAGAAATAACAAGGTAAAGTGCCATCCTCAATAAATCAGACCAAAGGTACCTAGAAACAAACATGACTAAGGACTAATGAGGTAGCGCTGCCTGTCTGGTTTATAAAGTCACCCCTCTCCAACTCTAAAGCTTAGCACAGATGCAAGAGCCTTGGGTAAAGGTTACACTAAGGGCACCAGAATGTCAATTAACGTACATCAATCTACATGAAATGGCATTCCTCCACCAGGGAGTTGGGGCCATGCTCTCATAGCTCTTTATTTATGATTTATTTAAACATTTCTTTGTACTAGTAGGAATGCATGGAGATTTATTTTGCCCATTGGATTCTAATCTGATGTCACTTTTGATGTGTTGTTGCTCCAATTGTTTGAGACTCGGTTTTGGGGCGACTCAGCTGGTCCCCATGTCCCTTTCACATGCCAAAGGGACTGTACTTCCAAACCACTCTCCTTCTTTGAACCCTGGAAATAATACTGGATGGGTTGCTAGGTCTTATGAGGGCAGATTCCAAAAAAACCCCTGGACATTTTTAGAACCAAAATCAGATTTACAGAAACAAGTTTACTTCTGTACTTCTATTTTTCCTCATTATAGTCTTCAATTTAGGAAGATGTTAATAGCTCTTCTTTGATTACCACAACCTCTCTCAAATTATGATTTGACATCCTCAACTTTTCAGCTGAAGTAGTGATCCATCAACTGTATTTGCTCCGAATCTAAGTAAGTATAAATCTAGAGGGGATGTGAAGCTGTACCCTCAGGATATTATTTAATATCTAGGAGAGACCAATCAATGCTTAAAATATTGACTAATCTCTGGAAGTATAACATGAGGTCAACTAAAAAGTTTTCTTTTCTTCTGGTTAAAAATCTCTATTCAGTCGGATTAAACCTACTGCCCAAGGAAACAAATTTCAGTGGTTCTCATTTCTGGCCAACTATTAGAATCACCTGGGGCCCTTTTAAAACTAATGGCCCTACTTCCCTAGCCAATTAAATCAGTCTCTTTCTGAGAATTGGGGCAAGTACTGGTATTACTTTGCCGTTCTCTCTGGTTATTCTTTTATCTCCCGAAAATAAGAAACCCTGAGGAAAGAGCCCTCAGCCATATCACAGTTTATCAAATGGTGGTGGGGGGAGTTTTAATTCTGGAATTTTATTTCAGAGAGCACCTATGGCAATATAGAGAGCCATGACAAATGGCTTTCATAAAGTTTTTTCAAGAATATTTAAAAACATGTTGTGACAGTGAAAAGCCATCAAAAGAGGTAAAAGATGGCTTTCACTTATAAGAAATGATGACTCATTTACTCATGGACTCATTCATAAAGTACTGAGTTTGCTTTGCCATTACCAATGGCCGTAGAGTTACAGAGGAGATGCTTGCTGTTGCCTTGTCAAATATGTTGGTTTTTTAACTAGACTGTACCTGTGATGTATCCAGTATGCCAAACACAGTAACAAGTGTCACAATGGAGACGTTACTGAGCCCACTCCAGCAAATCGATGAACAATGGGAGGACAGTGACAGCCTGATTTTTTATTTTCTTGTGATTATATCAATCTATTTTTTATTGAGGAAAAATTGGTTGATAAGAGTAAATATTTATATGCATTAGAGGACAATTTCACCACACAGCCCATCTCTGAAGTGCGAGTATCCACTTGCTCCGTCCACTGGACCTTTTTAATTCACTTTTCCCTTCTTGGTAACCTCAATTCTGTCACCAGGGTCCACTTGTTTTCACTGGCCATTGTCTATTTCCTAGCAGTGTTACTCTCCATACTGCAGATGAATTAGATCATCAGCATTTTTCTTTCTCCTTCTGAGTTTTTTTAGCATAGCCCCCTCCAGTTCAATCCATATTTTAGCAAGTTAAAACTTTATCTTTTCTAGTGACTAATATTCCAGTGTATGTGTGTGTGTGTGTGTGTGTGTTCACACTCACCTTTTCTTGTCCACTAATTTGTTGTTGGGCATTATGTAATTTTCAAATTTTGGAAATTTTAAATAGTGGACAATGGGCATAAGAATGCATACATCTTTTCAAGTTAGTGCTTTTGCATTAAAATATAGCCTTAACCTCTTGGTAAATGGTGAAAGCAGAAACAATATATTCAATATAGAAACTAAAGATCTATGAACCCTACTGTATCACCAAAAGGTAAAGGTAAAGGTAAAGGCCCTCCCGTTGATCGTCGATTTGCTCGAGCGGGCCCAGTAACGTCTCCATTGGAGACTTTGTTGTTACTGTGTCTGGCATATCGAATACTCTCGGTAGCTTGCCGGGCTCTCCGAGAGGGGCAGAGGAATCGAACTCGGGTCGGCCATGTTGGCCGCTTGTAAGGCGAACGCCCTACCCACTGTGCTATCGCTCCAGCCCCAAAAGTGAAGTATTTTTTCCAATAGCATAACCAGTGCCAAAATGAAGGACCAAAAATAGCCAGTTTTATGAGAGAAAGAAACAAAGAAAAACAGGGAACACATTTCACCTCACATGACCAAAGTTTGTATGTGAATCCTAAAGCACTTTACAAGTACAGATGTTCAGATGAACAAAGGCTGTCAGGTAAATAGTCTCGAGCAGTGGATTTCAAATGCCAGTCTGCAGACCCGTGCCAGGCTACCTGAATTCCCTGTGCTTGCAAAAAAGTCTTTACTGGGGCTAGAGCAATAGCACAGTGGGTAGGGCATTTGCCTTGCACATGGCCGACCTGGGTTCGATTCCCAGCATCCCATTTGGTCCCCCGAGCACCACCAGGAGTGATTCCTGAGTCCATGATCCAGGAGAAACCCCTCTGCATCTCCGGATGTGACCCAAAAAGCTAAAAAAAAAAAAAGTCTTTGCTGCCGAATATAGAGTATCTCTATAAAACCCAGCTCCCGGAAGAGAACAGCGCAGAGTCTCCTGCCCCCACGCCTGGCTGTCCTCACTGGGGCCCCTTGGAGGGGAGCGGGTTGAGTTTTCCTCTCCGCCCCGACCAGGGTTCCGGAAGCCGAAGACCTCCAGAACCAGTCACCACCATGTTGAGACCACTCTCTGCACACCTGAAGGTACCTGCAGAGGAACAAAGGCATGCAGGTCCCGGGGCTGAGATCTCCAAGCCTACTCAGATCGGGGCTGAGCATCCTCCACCCAGATCCTCCAAATTCCAGTAGGCGGGGGTCACACCCACCAACTGGCCTCCTTGCGCCGTGTAATCCCATCAACGGCCAAGACTCAGAGACTATAAAACCCAGCTCCCGGAAGTGCGCGGCCGCATTT